GCAGATCATGTGATCTGAATTATACCTTTATCATAAGAAGAATTCTAAAATTATTAAGAGCACAACATTAATTTGTATGAACCTGGTTTCCATTTTTGATCTGTACATCTAGGATTTACCCTCCACATAACCTCTGTAATGGCTTCAAAAGCTGTGAACTGGATTAAAAAAAACTTTTAGCATTCTTATCTACAAGTAAAATATTTGTTTTCTATGAATATCGATTAAAGCTAACCTGAAAATATCCATAAACCACTGATAGAACTTGAGCAGGTACATGACCTTTCCTGTTGCAATTAAAGTAGATAACCATTCACTAATGAATTCATACATGTTATACAACAAGTATTGGTATGTTCTTACTTCTCAAACCTAGCTCTAACTTATAAAACTCTACATGCTCCTCAATTTCATCCATGTAACGGTTCAAAATAATATTTTTCCTCAGTCGGTTTTAGGGGTAAAACGAAAGCATGAGGATAAGTTTGATACAGAAAATTTTGACTTCAGCCGAGGAGAATACTGAATCACAACATATTATAACACAAGCTATATTTTATCTTGGGAAAACATAATTTGCTTACCAGAGCGAAGTAAATCCTTCTTCTTTGTAAATAAGTTTGAATGCTTGCCATATTCCTGAGTATTTACCTGTGGCTATTTTCTATCACAGAGATAAACATTATTTATGTTTCAACTTTTATTCACTTATTTTGGAGTGTTAGTTGTATGTACCGTACGGCAGATAAATAAATTACTTCTTTTTAAGGAAAAAAAAAAAACTACATTTAGAACTTGCTTTTCTCATTTATTTCGATCCAAACAAAGCCATTAATTCATACTGCGAAAAAAAAAATTGAATAAGAAAAAAAAAAAGCTTCCGCACTCAACAATTCTGATGGCTGATGGCCTGATGGCCTGATGCAACACTGGAAGATAAGCTTGCTCAGATCTTTGATATAGCCGGTTTCTTTACACAAAACTTCGAGAAACTCATTTAAAGCCTTCATGAAATAATTTATCACCTTGGATGTAGGTTCAATCTGAAGTTGAAATCGTATTTTAAGGACATCGAAGGGTTGAACCACCAAACGAGTTACTAGCCCAGACACAGAGCCACATACTCCACACTGGGTTGAAGATATCTTCTTCTCTTTACGACCTGGATCAAAACCAACCATTTCCTCAGCGAATACATGCTCTGATCACATTTGGACTCAGCTGATAATTGGTAGGGAAACCACAGCAAACAATAACAATCGTTTCATAGCTGTGCAATCCGGTAAACCCTACACTAGCGCACACCCCACTGCCTCCGCCATCTTGATCATGTTGAACCGAGAAAGATTGAGTTCTAGAAGAATTCCCGCGGGATCTTAAACTTGTCACATGTCAAATTTTCGATATTTCATTGGTTATTTTCTCGCAGGATCAAAGGATCATCTTTCAAAATCAATGGAATTTAAATTTCGTGACGATCAGCCGATCATCGTGGTTGCGGTCGTTATTTTGAAACTGACAGATTATGTTGTTGTGTGTCAGTAATTGCTGATTTTTGTTTTGCACTTTTTATTGGTGCTGTAAGCTATGTCTACTCCTACCAAAGCAAGAGGGAAGCGCGCGCTCCCCAGTATTCCTCTAAACAGAGCGGCCAGTTCTGATGGCATAGTTACTACGACGCCGAAATCGTCAAAAGTTATCTCCAAGAAAACAAATTTGGACTCTGCACGCGTTGACGTGATGAAGAACAGAAACTACACCTCACAGCAGAAGCAAAAGAATGGCACGATCATGAATTCGAAGGCACCAGCAACAGAGTTGATTTCGAGAAGGAAGGATCTTTCCTCAAGCGAGAGTGGTTCTAACACGAGCTCCCCCTTAAACTCCCCGCGAGCAACACGGAAGGCAACTGTAAGGCCGGTAGTGGCTGAGGTTATTGATAAGTTTTCCAGCAAATCACAGACAATTGAAGGGAACGAGATCAAAGAAGAGACATCAGGTTCGGAAAAAAAGATCGCGCGTGTTTTGCCGATGACACCGCAGTTTATCGAAGAACACCTGATTACAAATACAGAGAGTGAACCTTCGTCGACTAAACCGTATGACGATTCTTCTCTGATCATCAACAAACTGCAATCCACCTTGGGGTTGTTGAAAGGAAATGATGGAGTAAAGGGTTTTGAGGACAAAATGGATTCCGGTGTTCCGCCGGCTTTAAAACCACCCATGTCAACAGCACCGCAACAAGTGTCTTCCGCTGGTGGCGATGGGGAGGGTTCGAGTGTAAGGGTTGGGGTGAGAGTTCGACCTTTCTTACCAAGGTAATGTGATACTTTTTATTGATAATGCGATAAGAATAAACCATAAGAATTGACTCGAGCGGGAAACAATCCGCTATTGATAAGTTATTTGTTTGTTTGGTATTTCGTGAGCGCGTGAGGTATTACAATATCACATTTGATATTTGTCATAATTACGGACAAGTGAAGTAGCTGATTAAAAAATTGATATTTTTTTCGCGCAAAAGCTGTTTGGTGACGAAAGTTTGGGGTCCTCCTTCGATCAATGTACACTATAGGGAACAATGAGACACACTTTATAATATTGTGTGAGTCCACATATTTGAATCTCCTCTTGTGTGACTTCAGTTTGACCGGATGTTGTTTCGAGCGTGTTTGAGTCGCTTTAGAGTTTCGGTCGCTCCCTTCTACTTCCTAATTACAGCTGGATCAAGGGTTCTGTAAAGCAGCGAAGAAATCCAGCGTTTCGGTAGTTTTGTTTACACAATTTGCATTCTTTTTCAATGACGTCTTAATTAAAAACTCTTTAATCCATTTGTGTCCATCTCGGGTGATCAACTCCATTGTTCCTTTTTAAAAAGACTTAAAGATAATCCCATGTTCAGTACAAGAGGTTTTAAAATGGTTGAGTTAGCTCTCTTGTCTCATAGATTACTATCTACTCACGAGTGTTCTTTTCCCCCTAAGTCAGCTTGAGATCAATATAATATTCAAACTATGCAACTCAAGAGTTGCTCTTGGAATTTACAAATTCATGAGAAGGAGTAACATAACTCTCTTTCTTATCTTTACATGTAAACATAAAAAAAGTGATGGTGTCAATCATAGCAGAGACGCGACAAATTGCAATATGTAATTAACTTTTGTCTACACTATGTTGTCTGAGAGTGTACTAATTAGGAAGCGAAAGTTATTTTAGTTAGGAAGCAAAAAAACATTGTCACAATTGTATCAGGGAGAATATCGCATAAATGGAAAGTGCTTATCATTGTCATTTCCAAGATTGCCCAATATTGAAGGTTCCTCAACGAGCTGCAAATGACTTTCAAGAAATAACATGGCAAGATTTTCATCTTATGAATCTCCTTATGTATGAACGTGTCTTCAGAAAGATCGGCTCATAAAACAGGACCACAGTGAATTGATTTCAAACTCATCCCTCATAATAACACACCATTCTAAGGTCTTATTTTTACAAGCCCTGCCTGATGAGGTGACTCCATTTCAGAATCATTGCCTCACCACCTCATTCTTTGAAAAAAAATATGTTCATATAAGAAAGCCAGCTTGCTTACAAAGATCAGAGTCATGTTCTGTGACCACAATATTTGATGACATGTTACAAACTTTCTCTCATCTTTAACAATTCTTATCCTTGAACTAAATTTCAAGGGTTGCAACAGACTTAGGCTTGATTTCCACTGCTCTCTTGAGTCTGATCTTTTTTGTTTCTTCATGAGAAGAGACTGGACAGGAGTAGAGGAGGCTCTGGTTCCCTAACAGCAGCTGTTAATCAAGCCTACAACATTTAACCCCTTAAGTTTCCCTTATGAGCAATAACCAGGCTAAAATAAAAGCTCATTGATTTAGTGGAAGAGCAATCATCATTAATTTATAAAAAGATGTACTACTTGTTTATTTTTATTAGCTTTCTGAACCTTTACATTCATGACCTATTGAATCATAACATATCAACTGATTGGAGCAATAGATAATACATTGTAAAACTATTTGACGTTTTATGAACTACAGTCACACTTCTATTAAGCAGCACTGTATTAAGCGGTCAGTTGTCAAAGTCCCTAATTTGTTTCTCCTTAATCATTGTAATTTTCAATTGTGGATAGTTTGGCATTGTTTATCATTCTTTTTTTTTTTTTTTTTATAATATCCCTAATATGGGGAACCTATATTTAGCAGTCAACCTGTATTATTCAGTCAACCCACCATTCCCTGTGGGTGACCACATAATATGGGTTCAACTGTACTTATCCCACAGTAATAATTTTTCTTTTTTAATAATCCATAGAGAAGAGAAAGACCCAAATGTGAAGCTGTGTATTTCTATGAAGGATCATGAGACTGTTATCACTTCAGATGCTGGCATGGAATATCAATTTAATTACGATTACTCTATTTGGTCATTTGATCCTAAAGACCCAAACTATGTTGATCAAGAGAAGCTTTATAAGTTGATGGGACAGCCTCTTCTCAACAGTGCTTTTGAGGGATATAACACCTGTCTGTTCGCCTATGGCCAGGTATCTAAACTCATATGTGTGTGATTGGCATCCACAGTTATTTCTCTCTACAGTACAAACCACAGAGACAAATTTTTAATTTGCCTCATGACAAAGTCACTTCCAATTTTTGAACTGCAACATTTTCACTGTTTACTGCTAGTCTTCCTCTTGTTTTGAGGTGACTCTTCGTGTCACCTGATGAAACAATTTGCTCTCTAGGGATTTAATATTTGCCATAGCTATGATCTTTGAAAGCCATTGAGTGAATTTAATTTTGCCATTTATACTTTCCTCCTTACAGACAGGATCAGGGAAGTCTTAAAGGTAAGTCCAGAATATCAACTCAATTTTATGTTTCACCTGATGAATTTGCTGTTAGCTACTTATACATATAGTACATGGATATGTGTATGTTAAACATGTAAAAAAAATTGCCAATCTTGTGAATGTAATTGATCTCTTATTTTTCACAGTGTAATGGGACAGGGAGATGAAATTGGCATTTTGCCAAGATTCTGTGAAGAGTTGTTTGAAAGGATCAAATGTTGGAAAGAGGTAGACGTCTTTCCTCTTTATTTTTAGAAAGAAAATGAGGTATTTGTACATTTCGTCGGCACAGTTTAGGAACTTGAAGTTGCGACCATGCCCATTTTTGTTTTCTAGTTGTTGTTTTTTTTCATATAATTTATTTAAGTGTACTTCCTTTCTTAAAGTTAAAGTTATTAATAAATTTGATAAAAGTTAGATAGGTAGTTGTACAGCTATTAGATTTTTTCACTTCTTCTTGATGTACACAGCTGCAGTTCACAGTGGAAATAAGTTACTTTGAAATCTATAATGAGAGGATTCATGACTTGTTGGCATCAAGTAAAAAGAAAGATGGCAAAAGAGCTCAGGTAAATTATGCACAGCATGAATTTTACATCAATGAACTTTACTAAATGAGCATGTACATTAGGTTTTAAAAGTAGCATTTGGGCATAGCAATATTGAGTCTATAAAATTGTCAGAATTAATAGTTTTAATGCTAATGATGATGTATAGATTGAAAACTGACAAAAGAATTAAACCGGTATGGAAATAAATTCAACAAAGGCTTTTTATGCATTTGATCTTTGGATTAATTACAACTGTATTGTTACATGTGCATTTCTGCAGTTGAGGGTCAGAGAGCACCCAATATTGGGACCATTTGTTCAAGATCTGACTACGTGAGTACCATTTATGTAACATATTTTTATACCTATCAACATCTTAACAACGAAGAGTAAGGGCTGTACCTATATCTTATTAACCAAGTGCGAGGGCCGTACTGGGAGAATATCTGCCTGAGGTCTTGACAGTACGGACCTTGCTGCACTCGGTCTGTACAAAAAAGATTGAGGGCCGATTTTCTTCCAGTACAGTCCCAAGCAAACTTGGTTAATAAGAGATTTATTATACAACTGAAGTTCAAGGGACACAAGTGCAGTATCATTCAGGACCATTTGGGACAGTGCCTGGTCCAATACTGAGAGAATATTGACCAGCAATAGAGCATTTTGATTGGTTGATTTTAGTTATTGGCCCTCTGACTGCCCGAGTCGTGTAGTAATATGGAATATTGGCTTGAGGTCTTGGTAGTGCAAACCTTACTGCACAGTATTCCCAATCAATGTAGTAGTTTCATGTTTTCAAGTTACTTCTTCTTGTTACTCAATGATCTTGGATTCATCCTTAGGTACACTGCAAGTTCATATGCAGATGTTGAGGTGAGGAAGAAAACTCAATAACTGTGTTCAAAAAAAAAATTGAACAGATATACCTTTGATATGAATTAAGTAACAAAGTGTTATTGTTTGTATCAGGACTTTGTCACTTAATGTCTACACTGCCAGGGCTTGACACTGACTTTTCAACTTACTAGCCAAGTGGCTGGTGACAACTTAGATGTCATGACAAATTTGAGTTTGTTCTCTAGCCAAACTGGCCATTGGAAATAAAAAAATTAAACACTAGTCAAAACTGAATTTCTACTGGTCTGTGGCTATTTGGCTACCGTTAGTGTCCAGCCCTGACTGCTAATTCCACAATAAACCTAATCTTTATTTTGAGACATTCAATATTTAGTAATAAGACATTTTCTTATGATTTGCAACAGTTACTAATATTTTTAAGTCACCTTGTATGTCTTACTGGTAATGTCAATTCGTGGGAAATTATGGAGAATTGGAGAAAGATGCTTTCAGCTGAGTCACATGGTTGAAAATAAATCATGCTCTTATGCAGGCATGTGACATCAAATTCTCAACTGCTGGCAGGAAAATCATAGGAATTGTCAGACCCTTGAGTATTTTTCATTGGAATTGATTTTAGAATTAAGCTCACTTTGGAATGCTCCATAGGTTTATTGAACTGGTCACACAATGTTAAACTATTGTTATTTTGTCTCTATGAGACGGAGAGACTGAAGTTAAGGTTGACTGCCTGCATTGATGTACTTGGAGCTATTTTTACTTCTCACTTTTTTTTGGTTTCATTTCTGTTTTTTTTTTTTTTTTTTTTTCCCAGTCTTGGCTAGCTGTTGGAAATAGTATTAGAGCAACAGCCGCCACAGGAATGAATGACAAGAGCAGTCGTTCTCACTCTGTTTTCACCCTGGTCATGACACAGACAAGGGTAAGGCAAACAAAAATATTTGTCCTTATACTGTAATCCTTGAGTGAGACATTCATCTTCATATTCCTTTGACTGATAAAATAAATTATAGGAATTTTTGTTGCCCTAGTTTTATAATGGCAAAATACCACTGCCTTGTTAGCACGGGTCTTTTTCAGAAATAACTTTAAATTTACTTTATTGTACCTTTGGTCTTGGCAAGACTTTTCCAAGCTCAACTATAATTTGTCTATAGATACGCTCCTTCCCCCAGAAGTTTATTTGAGAATGCTTGATTTATTTTCCACTCTAGTAATTCATTCATCTCCTTTTTACTCATAGACTGAGATATTTGAAGATTCAGAAACACAGATGACGACAGCCAGTAAAATAAATCTGATTGACTTGGCTGGAAGTGAGAGAGCAAGTCAGGTGTTGAATGACCAGGTGGTCAAGACAGCTGAGACTGCAGCACTTAGACTCAAGGTAATTAACATCCAAAAATTGTCCAAAATACAGGCCCCATATTATCAATTACCTTGTTGTTCATCCTCACTCAAATATATAAAGGCTGATAGTTTCGAAAGAAACTGTTTGGGGCTGCGTCAGTGAGGTTACTAAATAATTTGAATATATCAACAAAGTTGAAATGGTAAATTGGCCACCGTAATGATTACAAAAGCTGACGTTTTGAGCATTAGCCCTTCATCAGAGTGAATAGCGGAGTATAGAGAATAGTTGGAGCCAAAAGCTATTCACTCCGACGAAAGGCTAACGTTGAAACATCAGCTTTTGTAATCGTTACGGTGGCCAACTTACCATTTCAACTTTGTTGATATATCCAAATTATTCCCACTCAAATGTGACTGATAGTTTTTGTCATACCTTGCACATTACAAATGCATTTGCTAGGAAACAATAATTTTTTCAACAAATTATGACGAAAGAACCACGAGATTTTTTTATTGAAATCTGTTTCTACTATTTTTTGTTAGAACTAAATCACAACTTGTCAAAATTTCTCAAAGGATAGTTATGGATTTGAAGAAAAGCAAAGTGAAATCAAGAAATGCCTCGCCCAGTGAGGCAAGTGAGAAAAGCAAGAGAAACAAAACTAAAGAGTTTGTTTTTAATTCCAGGAAGGAGGCAGCATTAACAAGTCCTTACATACACTTGGTAAAGTGATATCTCTACTGTCAGACAGAGAAGCTCAGTCCAAAAAGAAAATGTACATACCTTACAGAGACTCCACTCTTACTTGGTAAGTATATGTCAATGTCTTACGTAGTCTTGAGGGTACAAGAGATAAAAGCAAAAAACAATTTATCAACTTAAGATCCATTAAATTACTTTTTGAAAGGAGTTTTCTGGCAGTTCTGGTAGCTTTACTTATTTTAATTCCAAAAAAGGAAAGGAAACAATGCTATAATGGTTATGATGAAAATCATGGTTTTGTAAGTTGTTATTATTGCACTAATTTTTAACTGTGATGCTAGAGTACAATACGATATGATACACAGAGTTGTTTGACCTTACTGATACTCATTATTTGGGACATTGATTGTCATCAGTCAAGCACTTAAAGGCTAGACACTAACAGTAGCCAACCACCCACAGACTAATAGAAATTCAGTTTTGGCTAGGGGTTTTTTATCTCCACCAGCCAGTTTGCCTAGTAAACGAACTGAAAGTGTTGTAACGTCTAAGATGTTGCTAGCCACTTGGCTAGTAAGTTCAAAAGTTAGTGTCAAGCACTGCACTTGTTTCTTAATGGTGGCCAATTTACCATTTCAACTTTGTTGATATATTGAAATTATTTCTTAACATTCTTGTTGCCATGAGAGTCACGGCCTTCTCAAAGTGAGCAATAGTTTTTCCCATGCATGACAAAAGATGACAAACATCATGGTTTATTTATTTTGAAGGTTACTGAAGGACAGTTTGGGTGGAAACTCAAAGACAGCCATGATAGCTAATATCAGCCCTGCCAGCACTTCATTTGGAGAATCACTGAGTACTTTGAGATATCCTTTTTGATTGAAAGCAAAATGATATTCCTGGAAATTTGTCATTTTTTTGTGATGTGATCCTTTGCTCTCTAAGTTGAAGAGATAAATTTGTTTATCCCTGTCACTTGTGAAAAATTGGTCCTTACAACATGATAGCTGCAATAATAGCAATTTCCAAGAGAAAAACCTGAAAAAGAAGCTTTGATGAAACTGGATCTGTGCCTTTTCAGCTCTTTGCCTTTTGGTGGGTGTTGCTATCAACTGAGCTATGAAGCCAAATATTTCAGACAAGGCAAATTTTAGAGGGTACCTCTGTGCCCTGTAAGGAAATTTACCCACGATTTGTTTATTATATTTTAATTAAATATTTATTCATGGTAGTATTTATAATGTCATTACAGTAATCCAGATGGCACAGGTGATTGGTTTCTAAAGGTTACCATAATTGCCATAGAATTCTTGACATTCCCTGTTAGGATCATACTGTTCTTCCTGTCCTTGACTCTTTTTAAATATGCCCAGAGAGCGCGTACAATTGTCAACAGAGCAATCATTAACGAGGATCCAAATGCGAAGATCATTAGAGGTAAGTTGAAAAAAAAACGTGAGTGGTACATGTTTGTGATTACAACAGGGGTTTTGCAAAGTGTTTGTAAACAAAGGAACATGATCGAAGATATAGATCACAGAAAAAAGAAATTCTTACAATATTTCAGGAGGAAAATTCAAAAGAGGTACAGTTTAATACAGGGGTGCAGCTGTTCTTTCTGGTAACCTGTTTTAAGTTTTATCTCTAAACATTTTGATATATATATGTATATGTATGTTTTGGATACAACCGAGAAAGGCTCGAAAAGCATTCATCTGCTGATTGCAAATTATGGAACCAAATTAATACCTTGTCCAAACTGATGGAAGGGGTTCCATTGAACCCCCCCTCCTCCTCCTACACCCCTCTCCCAGGATTTAGAGTTGAAGGAAGATGTTGAAGATGGTGTGAACTGCATGTGGCTATTTTCCCTTAGACACAGACTAATGTCTTTCATATTTGTCCAGAATTAAAAGCCGAGATCGAGAGATTAAAACAGTCTCACGTTGAAGGGAACCAGCAGATAAGCGCCAGAGCCTTGGCTGAAGTTGCTTCGTTGAGAGAGAAGCTGAAGGAGACACAACGCCTATTGGCTGAGTCAACTCGGTAAGTGAATCAATGTGCACAGTTTTTTATTATCTTTTTTTTAACTTAAATCGAAAATCCTTGGAAGTGGGTTGTTTGCTTTTTTGTTTTTCTTTGTTTCTTTTCTCTTGTCGCGTTTTGATCGCAAAAAAATACCGATTTGTCCCAGAGAGAAAATTTAAAATAAGAAAGTGGCAGAAAAATATTTTAATCCTACAACACCAAAGGCACTGAACGATCTGTCTTGGATTTTCGTGTCGAGTTTAACAAACTATGATTTTCTGAATGTGGTGATTTTTGATCGGTATTGTTCCAGTACCGTTCATCCGTATCTCTTCCTTGACAAGTATGGAATCATGTTCATAGATTAAGACCACACTTTCACAAATCGTTTACGTGATTAAGCTCCAAATCTCCGGATTCAAATGTTTTCAACTTCTTACTGACGCTTGTGACTTCTTAAGTCATATAATAAAAGTTTTTCAGGATATCTCTGAGATGTATTGGATAATTGTTTTTCCTATACTTTATTCTTTCAAGGAACTGGCAAGAAAAACTTGCGATAACGGAAAAAAGGAAACTGGAAGAAGCCGAAAAGCTCAAGGTACAATGAACGTCACGGTATTACTAGACAGTTGCGTGTACGTGAAAGCTTTTCCTTACTTTTCTTATACCTTGGTTAAACTACGTTTTCTTTGCTGTTTCTCGTCACAGAAAGCAGGCATCTCTTTTAAAGTGGATAATCGGTTACCAAACCTTGTTAATTTGAACGAAGATCCTCAGCTGTCGGAAATGTTACTGTATATGCTGAAAGAAGGTTTGCCTCGCTGAAACTTCCGTTCTTAGACCAAAGGTGTAACTGTTTGTTTGGTCGCCTTTTATTTCTGACCTTAAAGATGTAGGGTTGAAGCAAAAAGTTTTAAAGTCGTCCGGTCTGTTTCCCTGTTCGCCCGAAGCAACTTTCTCGATCTAGGCGAAGTCTTAGAAATGCCACACCTTTACCTCAGTATTCAGTAGGCGTATTCTTCATACTGTTCTGTAAAAATTTCTATGGTACAGACAAAGAGAATTTGTTTAAGAATCCAGAGCATATAGTTGGCGATAGTGTCCTTTATTCTCACAACGTAATGTTTGATTGGGCGGTTATTTTGTGAGAAGAATTAAGATGCTAGAAGGGTGTGAAAGGCTAATCCAGTCCTAGATTGCAAGCCATATATTTAAGTGTTTTTTCTCTTTATTAATTCTGCTTTCTCTCTACAGGAGAGACTACGGTTGGTCAGAATGATCATGATATTAAACTGAGCGGTGCACTTGTTGCTGAAACGCACTGGTCAGTAGCTATTGAATCAAAGAAATTTTGTTTCAGTTTGTTGTATAATGTTGCTTTGAGTTATTTTACATAACTTGGGCTTGTTCTTCCTTTCAGTGTCTTGCGAAATAACGGGGACAAGGTTACAGTTTCACCGATAGGTAAATAACATCGTTTCTTTTTTCGCTATCGGGTGTCCAATCGCCGCTTAATTCTCTTATAACTATTTTACGCATGAAACGGCGGGCTAAATGAACGAAAACTGAGTGCGATCTTCTAGGTATATAACTGTAGAAATATGATTTTCGTTGGTCGATGTCCGAATGCACATCCTGGTAAATATCTTTAGAGAGAGAATCCGTGCGCTTTTGCTTTTTGCTTTTTCCCTCTGTTTCCCTTTTAAAGCACTGATTTTAACAAGGACTCTGTAATCTGTGTCCCTTGAGCTTGTCAGGTTTGTGCTTCTGCTTGAGCATCAACTGAAGAGCTTTTAATTGCATTGCTTGTTTCCTTTTTGTTGTAGGAGATGCGCTAACATACGTCAACGGCCAGCTTATTATAGAAGAAACAGTCCTTCATCATGTAAGTGACGTGAAGTGTAAATTACTTTGTGTTTAACAGTCTCCTGTAAATTTGAAGTTACCGCTGAATCTCTATCTTTATTCATCGTCTCCTTTTTGTTCGTAGGCTGATCGTGTGGTTATTGGAGGTGATCACTTCTTCAGGTACTGAATATATCTAGACTTCCTTCTTCCTTTTTTTTTTTTTATTGATGGAAACAAACGACTGAGGAGTTGTAAGATTTCGCCAGCTCAAACACCATGGTGTAAGGGCACAGATTCCATGGCCTGAAAGCCAATTAAAACACTGCATTCATGTCCAGTGGCAGTAAGACTGTCTATGGTAGAGGTCTTTTTTTACAGCTCCTCAAAAGGTTAACGCTTTTACCAACTAAAATTGATAACTACGCTTTTGTTATAGATTAAATCATCCTAAAGAAGTGAAAAAGAGAAAGATAAGTAAATCTGAAGCTCCAGAAGGGAACACTCCAGAGGCCGCCGTTTTAAAGGACTTCGAGTTTGCAAGGAACGAACTGGCTCAAGCACAGAATGCAAGGTGACTTAGTGGATCAGTTTCGAGAAATCTATCAGTTCAGTTTTGACACTGATGCAGTACTGCTTTGATTTTTCGTTACGTCTTGACTTGATCACTCATCTCTCCAGAGTTTTAAGCATTTTGCTTGTTTTTGGCTTCTCATTGGTTCATGTATGGTATTCTTTATGGTATTTTCTCTGTCGTGACTGGTCAATGTGATTACTTTGGGTTCGATTATACGATACTCATTCGAAAAGTGCTGTATGTGGTGTGGGGGGATCTGCTGAAGAGTTTTTTATTCCTGATGACGTTCAGCGTTAATCGTCACGGTCATGAACAGTGCATTGAGGTAATCAGGACTATCAAAAGGGAAAATTTTTTTTGGGGGGGGGGGCATGAACTGTAAAACATTTTACTGATGGTGATAGCGCATGGTTTTATACTTCTTCAGTCTGATGAACAAAAAAAAATCTAGTCCAGATTCATTTCAGCTGTTCTAATGAGTACTCTTCTTTCCTATCACAGGCTGCAAGCGGAACTCGAGGAAGCCAGAGAAGAAGCGAGAATTCAGGCCCAGGAGGAAATAGTGGCTCGAATACAGGAAGCAAAGGTAATCATCATCATCATTGCGGAACTCTGAACGAGTGGGAAATCCAAGAGTTTAATAAGCGTCGATTGTGTTTTCGAGCAGGAAGCTGCCCAGCAAGAAATGACGGAGCAGAAGCAAATCTACGAAGAGAAGGTGTCAACTCTACATGAAGCCATGGTGAGTTATGATTGGTTGTTTTAGTTCAAGTGTTCTTTCAAGGCCGGAAATGCGTTCTTCACCAAACTCTGTCATTGGTTCAAAAACCCTTGTGCAACCTCTCAACCAATCGGATGAAAAACTAAAACGGTCACGATTTGGTCATTCAAAACTCCTCGCCCTTGAAGCATTTGGCTAGGTTTTACTTGAAAGCTGTCGGGAACTACCCTCCCCCCCCCCCAAACTGGGTATTTTGCCTGGACCGAGGAGAATGACTTAGTGGAGTGGCAATAGTTGCCTTATGCTGCGGTAGCCTCTTACAACCTCACAATCAGTAGAGACGAGCGGAGAGCATGCGAGAGACAAACAGCAGGTGCAATTGTCTGGGAAACGGCTTCGTAATAGTATCCGTTCAGACAGAGCTGAATAACGTGCACGCATGCGCTAGATTTTGCCGTGGAAACACGGATTTTGAGTCGTTCGCATGAATGATTTCCTATTCTGTTGCTTCGAGGCGTCGTTTTCCTTGCCGCTTTTCTTTTACAGAACAACCTCCAAAAACTTGGTACACCCCCTGAAAAGTTTCAAAAACTAATTTTCTCCTTAAAACCTCTCGAAATAGGAAAGTGCCTTCGACGAAAACAGAGTTCCTCGGTTTTAAAAGTCATCCCTTACCATTTTCCGCTAATTTCGCTAAATTTTAGACGTAGAACACTTGAGCCCGCGTTGTTGATGGCAACCCGCTGACGTACATTTCATTATTCAGCTCTGTCATCCGTTCATGGACCTCCCTCGCTTTCCGCGCGCCCGCGTTTTCGCTCGTTTCCACTCCCCTAACGCCCGACACAAACTAACGCTGCGAAGGCTGGGGTGAACTCCACTACTGATGGTCCTCTAGGCTTGAAATGATTTTTTGTTGCGAGAGATCGATAGTTAAAAAATATTGGTAGGCTAAGTTGTTTCTTTTTTCCACAGGAATCTCTCACCGCTGAAAAGGAACAAGCTGAACAGTCAAAGCAAACAGCAGTGGAAAAGATCTCTGAATTAAAGGCACACAGACTGGTGAGTTGAAATTAAGCAGTTTCAAAAGTGCGATAAAGTGCACTCACCATCATCGCAAATATTTCCATTGCTTGCTCTTTATATTTGTTCGACGGCTGTTTAAACGACAGAAAATAACTCTGCCCTCACTGTTCCTTAGCTCCTGGAACAAGAAATCTTGAACAATAGAAAGAGACTACAAATGGAAGCACTCGCTGCCAAACAGGTAAGTAGACGGAAAAGAGAACGGAAATTCGTACCCTTCGAGTAGTTGGTCATGTACTCAGAATGTTAGAATCAGCCTTTTTCACTTCATAAGTAGAGGAGAACTAACGATCTTCGTAAGTGCTCAGTACAGACTATGGTGAGTCTTTTGATGTTACCATGAGTATAAAACTCTTTTGCTGTACAAGTACAAAAAACACAGACACTCTTCGTTGGATGATTCTTGTTCTTCATTCTACTTCACTCGGTGTATGACGTAGCCAAATAGGACGTGACGTGTCCAATACACTGCGGCAGATAATGAGCACCAATCTTGAGGTGGTGTTACATTTGTCTTTGTAGGCTTTAGAAGAAACCAAAATGAACCAGGTACGAATAATCACAGAATTGGAAAAAGAAAAGAAGAAAATGCAAGATGATGTACTAAAGCTGAAAGAGGCGAAGGTTAGACTACACAACAACAACAACAACAACAACAACAACAACCTTTATTTGTTTTCTCTCTCTCTCTCTCTCTCTCTCTCTCTCTCTCTCTCTCTCCATTTTACAATTGATGTTTGTATTTACAGTTATACTGTAGTCATTTTGTTGTTGATTATGTATTTAATTTTTCTTTTTTTTTTAGCAAAACCGCGACAAAATACGAGAAGAATTTAAAGCGTCTTTTAATAGTATTGGAAGGAAAAATTCCTTGGCAGGTTGGTACAGTGATTGTTTGGTCGAGATTAACGAGCTCGGTGCTTCTACTACTTTACAAACTGTTGATTTTCCATTGTTGTTTTCTATTGTTTCTTTCACGAATGACTCGTTGCTCTCACTTTCTCAGATGATCCGAACAAGAAGGAATTGCTGCGTATCACCATGTTTCTACGAGAAGCCAACAAGATCAGCCAGAGTTTATCAAAAAACATTGTAAGTGTCAATATTTGAACCCTAAAGCAATTTTAGTTGAGTGTTAAAAGTAACCTGGGATCACTTTCTACTTGAGTTTTTTTTTTTAACTTTTTTTTTTTTTTAAGTCTGTACAACATTGGCAATTCAGTCTCACAAGTTCGATCTCCTTCGATTTCCTTTCTCATCTGTTTATTGCTGATTGCTGTTCACCAAGTTCTTATCCACATCGTTCTTTCATTTCTAACACTTTGGGATTTTTTTCTATATTTTATTGTAGACCTTTAGCCGAGATGATGTCGTAGTGGACGGAAAGGTAATTTGAACAGCCCATACGTGCTTTTTGGTTTACTACTTTTACTCTCATGTTCTTTTTAAATTGAAATCATATTCACTTGCGCCAGTACAGTCACGGTTTTGTGCATTAGTCTCAAGACTGATGTGAACTCAATTTCTTTAACACCGCAACGCAGGTCACGTCGCTTTAACGAACTTACGCTGGCTACAGCCTCCGCGCGTATCCAGTCAACGCTAATCACAATGACTCCGAGTTCCCCGGCTAAAACGGTTAATTTTCAAACGACTAGTTTCCCTAACTTCTGTAAAGAAATCTATCAGAATAGTGGTGACAATTTTAGAATTGTCAAATCTGACTGCACAGTTCTTGTTAACAGCGGAGTTTCCCTATCTCTTGAGAAATCCATATAAAAGTTGTACTGAGGTGTGTGTGTGTGTGGGTGGGGGAGGCACTGTTACTACTCTTGTGTGATGTTCCACAGTTCCATCTAACTGAACTCTTTAATTCTGTCCTGTATCGACAGTCGGAAATGAAGATTCGTTTGAACAACACAAAGAAAGGTTTAACGACCATTTGGTCCTTGGAGAAATTTCAAAGTGCCTTGGAGCAGATGAGAGAGCTTTACCAGGTATTATTTAAGAAGAAGACTTCCTCCAGAAAGAGTTGTGTATAAATGAGAATGAAAATTATCAAGTGACGTGGAAGCACTCTTCTTTCGATCCCAATACTCCACGGTACTCAAGATGGTGTCGAGAGTAGAATGGTTTCAAAACACAATTGTCGCATTTTTGTGCGTAACACGGTTCTCTAGATGACTATATGGTACGCAGTGTGAGACATTAAGTTTAATCTCGAATTGTGTGTGTTAAAAAATCCTCTCTTCATTTTTTTACTTTATTAAAAACAGCAACGCGACAATGACAGCATCTCAGGAGAGTCTGGGGACGAAGTTGATCCTTTTAATGACCCGGATGATAAATGGGAGAAAGATTTCAAATTGGACTCGGCAAGTAACAGGTATATGTGGCTAGTCTCATTCGAAGCCGTATTTAAAGTGGTAATAGTTCTTGTCTACTGAGATCTTCAGCTAACATAATTCATTATCATTGCTTGTTTGTTCAATCCTCTACAGACGCAGCACTTCCACCAGTAGTTCAGGGCTGTCATCTCGTGCCAGGTCATCATCGGCTGGAAAGGCACAAGGTAGGTCATGACATTTCTTCCGAATTGTCTTCCCATTATAAGCCATTTACTAGAGAAGTTTTGTTTCGTGTGTGTGTGTGTGTGTGTGTGTGTTTGTGTGTGTGGGTGAAGCAGGTGTTTGATTGGTTTATTTAAACGCCAACAATCTTAACCGTAACTTTTTTTCACAGGATTCTCTCCCAACAAAGCGGAAAGCATATTTGCTAAGTATCGTAATCAGCAAACCCAAGGATCTACTACAGAGGCTCCTGAGGCACCTTCTGATGACCAAGGGACTTCATCTGAGAGGCCTGTCCCAGACACACCCGGCAGACCTCCTGTGGCCCCGATCAGTAGGCGAAGTAAGGGTTATCTTTTCGATCTACTCTTTGACTCGTTCTGTTGAAATTTGTATGGGCTAAAAATAATTTTTTAATTCTCTGTAGATATTTTCTTCCACATAAAATTTTTTATTTTCGAATCTTGCGATGAATCGTTTTTAGGCCCTTCTTCACTGGGTCGCTTTTCGATTGATTGGCGTGAAACTAAAACAAAAATTTTAATTACGGTAGCCAATCAGAAGAAAGAAAAGTTGCACAATTGCTCTCTTGAGAGAAGCAAACCTAGAGGTTATCTTTTTCTTTTTCACTATTTACAGAGAGCGAAACCAGAAGACCTGGACCGTCCTTACCTAGACTTTGTAGAGATTCCCTGAAGAATTATGTGGATTCATTGAAAGGTATTAATTTAAAACAAGTTACACAGGTATTGATCGGATTGTTTAATCAGTTCACATCTTATCACAGAACTCCTGCTAACCGCTTAGATTTGGCGTGCACGTGACAATGGTAGATTACAAGGCATTTGTCAGTGTAGCACTGACTACGCAGTTAATGCGCTTGTGTACTTTTATGTCAAATTGTTGCAGGTTTTTCTTTAGTTCTTATTAACCGAGCGGGAGGTCTGTATGGGAGAATCTTGACCGAGATCGTCAGTACAGACCGAACGCAGTGAGGTCTGTACCAGCGACCGAGGTCAAGATTCTCCCATACAGACCGCCTAACTCGGTTAATAAGATGTTTATTATAGGGCTGTGACTTATATGCAAATTTTTTATATTCTTTTTGCCTTTTTTTTTTTTCTAGACCGGTCTAGATGGGAAAATCTAGACCGCTTTCAATATTGCTTTCAGCCAATCAAATTCGTGAATTGGGTAGTTCCCAGTCCTTGGGAGACACAGCCATATAATAATATACGATATATGACAAATCTCGTTACTTAGGTGGTCACTGATGCGACACCATGTTTGTTCTTCAGATCTACCAAGTCCGTTTAATGAGCCGATGTATGAGAAAGTCTTGAGAGTCGTGAAGGAGATTAAAAAAAGTGTTGCCACCCTCGTAAAAGCAAATCAAGATAAAATAACGTCTGTTGCAGGTAAGGAAAAACAATTAAAAGCATCTTGGTTGTTTATAATCATGTAAGAGGGGTCACTATTACCTGTCACGTAATGATGGTTTCGTCACGCAAACGACGTCCTCTTTCTAGTAGTGCCGCCTCCTCAACATTTGTTAAGATGGTCATGCTATTATTATTGTAAAGCTTCAGAAACGTACAAAAAAAATTCAAGTTTGGGCGGATTTAGCAGCTGCAAAAAAAGGATTTACTGAACATATATAGGTGTTTACCAGATATTATTCTTGAAGTGCCTTTCTGTCCTCTTTCGGAAAGTTTTCGTATTTGTCTAACTGTCTAATTTATTTTATTAANTAGCCATTATGGCATATGAGCCAATATACCATAATCTACAAATATGGTAAGCGTACGCGTCAGCTTAAAATTAAAAGGGAGCTAAAAAAATTTAATATAATTTAATAATTTAATTTAACGTTTTTAATGAAACTATTAGTCCACTCACGCTTGTTGGATATGAGATGATTACAGCCAACTCGGCGCTAGGCGCCCCGTTGGCTATCTATCATCTCATATCCAACGTGCGCTCGTGGAATAATTATTAAGTATTCAACCATTATCTTTCTGTTATCTTCATTTAATCGTTTTCGTTTTTGGGTCTCCAAACAGAAGGTCATCAGTGCTGTGTTTCTACCACCATTTCCTTACAAATGCTCTCTGAGCATGTGCGAATGTGGGGCACCGCTGAAATTAACAATGAGCCGTTTGTTGAGTTGAGCTCTCAGCTTCTTGACACTGTCCGGCGATTGGCTGGTCACGTGATCGGTATCATCGAGGTATGAGGGTTGCTTTTACCTTTATTCTACACTTTATTCGCAGAAGTATTGCATTCCATTTCATGTGTTCTTCTTGGTGTCAACACTGTTGGAATATCTGTGAATCCTCGAAAAACTTTTGAACACCGTTGGTTAACAAGTAACGGAATACTAACGACCAACTACCAATCATGAGAGAGAAAAATTCCTTTAAGAGCCAATGGGAACTAAAGTTAAAAAAAAAAAAACAAACAAACAAACTGCCGAAAGAGCGGGAAAGCGCGGGCGACCAAGTAGTGATTGATTTTAGTTTTGTATCTGATTGGTTGAGAGAGTGGCACGAGTTTTCTGGACCAATCACAGAGCGAAGTAACGCAACACCAATGCAATCGTCATTAATTATAAATTGCTCCATTGCTAAAGCTGGCACAGTATCAACTTGTCTTGTGCAAATGGAAAGGAGACGCTGCAGTATTTATCACAATCTGTTTCTATTCATCTGAACTCCGCCGTGTTTATCTCCGTTTAGATCCTTGACGGTTCAAGTTCAAACATAGACGATCTTGTTGGGGCTTTCAACGATGACGTCATACACATCGTACGTCACACAGCCAAAATGGCTGTTCTGTCTTCGCAAGAAGAAAAACCGAAAGACGAGAACACCTCCTCAGTGTGTGAGGCTGACAGTGAATTAAACAAGGCGTTTGTAGAGGGACAAGACATGTCCATGGAGCTTTCCGTTCGTGACTCCATGTCTGCTCTCTCTGAAATTCAGGAAAAAATTCAAACGAGAGATTTGGACTCTTGCAGTACTGGGGTAAGTATGAAAAAGCCCATTGTGTTTTATCATTTGTTTCCGGGTCTGATTGGCTCTTGGTTTATTTGATGTATATCCGTCATAAAGTGATTTTTGGACTGATTTGAAGTCTCTCCATTTTTTCCGAAACAGTTGTTGGGTTGTAGTTTTTTTGCTTCTATCATAGACTGATCGCTCTTTTTTTTTCTCTTGAAACAAATTAGTGAACAATAATTTATTTTTCCCAGGTGGAAAGAGAAATCACGGAACATGCTGTTGCTCTCGTAAGAACCACCAGCGATTTTGTTCATCAGGGACGTGAAGTGCAGGTAGTTATCGCACCTCTTTTTCCAGGAAAGTGTTGAAATTATGTTGTTGCTCGGGGAAGGCATTAGCGAAATGGAAATGGAAGACAGTAACGCACTCATAGTTCTCAGGTTCCACTAACCTTATCGCAAGAGTAAATCAGCTTTTCTACATCACCCGAGCTCTTTTTAAATGAAATAATTTGAATATATCAACAAAGTTGAAATGGTAAATTGGCCACCGTTACGGTTATAAAAGCTGACGTTTCGAGCGTTAGCCCTTCGTCGGAGCGATGGAGGGCTAACGCTCGAAACGTCGAAGGGCTAACGACGAAACGCTAACGACGAAACGCTAACGACGAAGGGCTAACGCTCGAAACGTCAGCTTTTATAACCGTAACGGTGGCCAATTTACCATTTCAACTTTGTTGATATATTCAAATTATTTCGTTACCCCCACCGACGCAGCGCCAAACAGTTTCTTTAGAAACTATCAGCCTTTATTCTTTTTAAATGAGTCCCGAAAACTGAAACTATGGAAATTCCAACAGATAATCAGAACATAGGAGCTAATTTAAAAGACATGACACGTTGGAAAGTGAGGATGACTGAGAAATTGGTGAACTTTGTTTTGGTCAACTTTGTTTTCCAACTTAAAGTCGTGTTTGGTTTTGACTTGTCGAGGATGTAGAGCGAGATTTTTAGACCAATCACAGCGCCGTGATGCAAATCAACCAATACATGATTTACACTCCAGATCGGTCGTTACTATTTCTAAACCTTGTACAGTCGCAAGAGAAATTGGTAAGACATTTTTCATCACAAAAGTCAATATGTTTGTAATGTCTTGCTCAAATGTTTTGGGAAGGAACGGTAAATCTTAAATTAGGGAATATTGTCTGTTGCATTCACAATTAAATTTCAGAGCTAAAATTACAAGAATTGGGTATGACAGACAGTAGGAGGAAGTGATATTCAGACAAAGGAGTAAAGGGGTCGATAATGACTCGGGTTCGTTTTACCTTACAACTATTTTTCTTTGTTCTACAGATGCAACTAGCAACGACCTCAAATAACTCCAGCTGCAGAAAGAACACAGGGCACAATCGACTGATATCTGTTAAAAAGTTTGTAAGCAGTGTAAACACACTGCTCCAAAGGACAAGAGATTTAGCTTCGAGCGTGCGGATGGCCTGCGAAGATATGGACTTGGAAAAACTTGTTTCGTTACCAGAAGAAATCTGCTCATCGGCGGGAAATATTGTACGGCAAAAACGAGCGTTTATCGAGACAGAATATTCAGCCTCTGTGGGGAGTAATCAGGACATTTTGGACGAAATTGGATATTTGGAAAAGAAATGCAATGACGTTGAAGTAGCTGCAGGGGATTTGAGGAAAACGGTGACGAAGTTTTTGTTCCTGAGTCCAGCGCCGAAGTCTTTGCAGAAAAAGAGAAACTACAAAGTGTTTGGGACTGAAGATGATCACTCGGACGTGACAAATTACTCTCCGTTTATCGGAGGATCAAATCATACTAGGACACCGTTGGTATCGCGCAGTAAAAAATTAATCAGTGGAAAAGAATCGAGGAGCCCACGAAAATTGTGGAGTAAAGAATCGCCGGTTTAATTAATTCAGAAGAACATGTAATTCTATTAACGAAAAAAGTGTGCTGTTTGTTTGAAGATCGATTGCTGATGGTTTATTCAGTATTACAAGGTTATTGCTGATGGTTTATTCAGTATTACAAGGTTATTCTAATGATACTCTCAAATTGGTCAAAAGACCCTAAGTTATATTGCAGAAGAAAATGTTCATGTAAGGATTCCCACCTTTGAAATTTCTTTTCTGAAGGCAAAAGTGATGGATTCATTTAAATGGCGACACGTAAACACAGGCATAAGGGTTACCCCAAATATCGTACTTGTTCAGGTGAATCCTAAAGCCCACTTTTTCATCTACGTAAATTATAGAGAACCCAGATAAATACTCATTTCCTCATTTCCGTGACAAAATTGTCAACAACACTGGTTTTCCTTTGACACTCAACCAAAAAATAAATACTTGATTTCATTCGCTATCGTCTTGGTGAATTCTCTCCCGTTTCGGTTCTGTACTGAACGAGTCAGGTCAGTCTGCAAACGTTTACTTCGCCAAGAACATAGATAGACTGGTTCGCCAAATAGTGACGTCTGTTCGCTATCGCTTTTTTTTTTTTTTTTAAAGCGTTTTTCTGATTTTACAATTGTGTCACTCTTGTTAGGCGCTTTTGAATTTGGAGGAAACTAGCGCCATATAAACACTTTATTATTATTATCGTCTTAGGTTGATTTGCAAATGATTGAGGTCGGCTCGCCAACGTGATTAGTGTTATTCTCTAATATCTTAGGTTTGCTAAGTCTGCGAATTTCAACTTTGTAGTTGTCATTTGGAAAGTATGTCGTAAAATGTTTGAGCGTTGGTAACCTGAGGTAGAAGAGTGGAAACTGGAGGTGTACAACATGCGTTTGACTTGGCAGTTACTTGGCATAATTTACAGGAACCCGGTTTATCGTCGCTCGTATGATATAAGGTAAACAAACCTCGAACGGCGCCCAGTGTGACGATTCCAACTCTTAAAATTTTTTTTGTCATTTAAGGGAGCCATCCTAACCGTTAACCTCGCAATGATTCAAATCGATTTCGATCAGCAATCGAAGGAAAAATTCCTAATAAATTTATGAAAATTAAGCGACCCCTTGTTGAAATTTATCCCATTTCCAATTCGAAATATTGACTAACCGTCGGTCGCAGATCAACGACTTTAAAAAAAGAGTCAGTTTTAGTTCTTTTTTCAGGAGAAATTTTATTTCATATTCTATAACCTACCTCAAGTACGAAGAGAACCTTTTAAAGTCATTTACATTTAACACAGCTTTACAGCAGCCGTATGAGTTCGTGTACTTCGAGAGTTATTAACGCACCGTTGCTCAGTTTCGTGTTATAAAATGAATTCTTTGAGCGAAGCAAAAAAACTTTTCCCTACAGTAATTTGTCATCAACTTGTAGTCTCAAGATTTGAATTCATATTGCTTTCATACATATAATTTTTTCACTTACAATTTTCATGAAAACTAAAACTTATTTTAGGTTTCAAAGAAAAAAATAATCTTGTGAACAGGTGTTTTTTTTTTTTATATATATATAATTTTATTTCGCATCCGGGGAAAATTTATAATCATCTTTCGAAAAACTCTCCAAATTAAAGACTAAAATATCAATCATGGCTTAAAAAAAAAAAAAAAATCAACTTTGGCCGTTCTTAAAATAATTCATATTCCTCGGGTATTCCAAACCTGTCTTTGTTCCATATCACTTTGAGTATGATCAGCCAGCCGTAACAAAAAGTGACGAAGGCGATTGCAAGAGCAATCGCCGAGTCTAACCACCATGTCGAATGCATCTCGCTGTAAATAATTGTGCTTACAATCAAACCGAGGGCCATGGCAGCACCGCAAGCTGAATCTATTGCGTCGATCCTCAAAGCCACGCTCTGCAGCTTATCAGCGATTCGATATTTCAACCAAAAGAAGGCAGAATAACATAGAAACCCGACCACGGAGATCGAAAGAAGAGCGAGTGTGTTTCTAGGCTCCATGTCGCTGACAAGAAACTCCACCGCTCGCGCGCACATCATCAGTGCAGAGAGTATGAAACACGCGGCTATTAACACACAAGCCTTTCGTTCTTTGGCTGGTCCCAAGACGCCGTTGACTCCCTGGTAAAAACGCCAGACAATCACACCAGATGATACAACCCCAAGCATAGCGTCGAAAGCGATCGCAAACGCCGCAGAACTTTCAGCAATGCCTGAACTTACAAAGGAAGCAATGCTAAGCATGAGTGTGACATACATGGAGGCGAAAGATACGGATAGCGCTGCGCGTCGCCAGCGTTGTTTTTCTTGCGCCGAGAATCGGACTTTCTTTTTTCCTGTTTCATCGTCATAAGGCGATACGCACGGAAAGGTTCCAAAATCTTCCTGAGGTTTCGTGGGCTCCGCTGAAAGTTTAACCGGCAACGCTTCTTGTTCCAGCATTGGTGTTTTCATCGAAATGTTGCTTTCATTCTGTGCACTGTCCATGTCTTTATCTCTATCATTCCATCGAGAAATTTTGAGGTTTTTGCCTGGTCGAAATTGTTTTAAATTTCAGCTTCTTTCAATTGACGTTTTTTTAAAATGGTTTACAAAGACCTACTGGCAGTAAGCCTTTCAGTTCCCCGCTTTCGGAGTTTGATGTTTTATATCATTGAATACAATATTCTTAAATCCGTTTGACCAAGATTTACAGTGAATTATACGCATTGACAGTTGTCATTAAGGCTTCACAGTTCCATGTTCCATCAAAGGAAGATTTACTTCGCAAACGGCCCTAATTCTCGGTGATGAAATCAGGAAAATTCAGATTTCTTTACCTTTTTTAAAGCAATAAAAGAAAAGATAATAGCTACCGTTTTTTTGACATAAAAAAATCAATTTCAGAGAACACGAAGAAACTTCATATAAGACTAAACGTGTCAGCTCACCACGATATGATCACTGCTTTGAACGAGAAATTGATGCCCACGCACGACTTTAGATAATATAGTTGTGAAAAAGTAACTGAACTGGGTAGAAAATGAGTGCGATATCTAAAACAAAACGACCTCTAGGGACGCTAGGTTCTTCGCGGTACCAATGTTTCGTTAATTCGCTTTCTCAGTTCTCGCAGAGTGTAAATGAAGAGTGAATTCGTTTAAAAGAAATAAGATCCTTTGTGTCAGATAGAGGAAGAGAAAATCTAATAAACAGATGTCTGGAAGAATCCTATTGGAGGATTGTATGTTTTGGTACTCATCGATTGCAGTATTCGGCCAATCAGATGAGGATTCACCGGAATTAAGGGGGCCATAAATTATTTATTTCCACTTTCGCTACCCACGATATCCTCTTAGTATTTGAGAAAAAAAAAAAGAAATACGGAATTCAATGGTAATTTATATTTTTATGCGAGCTGTGATCGCGATAATCTTCGTGTGTGACTGTGAATGGTTTGCCGTTAAGAAAAATGTCAACAGCTACAAGAACAAAAAATAAAAGAACAGAATATGTTATTTATAGAATGGCAACATAACATGTTATATAGCGATATAATACGCTTTTTTGAGGCTTCTTTTTAAGATCAAAAAGTGTTTTATACAGTAAGTCCGTAACTCAATTCAGACGCTGTACTTCGCACGAGGTTATTTTGGGGCTGCTTATTCTTAAAAAAATGGTCTATTGCGCCACACTTCTGCTCTCTAAGTTCCAGTTGAAAAATGGGAATATTCCAAACCAGTAGCTACATTTTCAAGGAAAAAACTGAGAGATTATTTCACATTCATTTCAACTCATCATTTTTTCACTTTTCCTTTTCTTTCGGTTTTTATGGCTGATCTTTCGGAAGCCGAATGTGACTTTTAGACAACTTATCGGAGATTTCGGCAACATCCGCTGTATTTAACTACATTTTGACTGTGGAATTTAAATTAACTTTTCTGAAATCTTAAATCAGCCAGCAAGAGATGGTCATTCACTAGTCCAACTTAATTTTTAGCAATCTCAGGATTAAGCCTCATTCGAGGACTTCTTCACACCAAACAACCGCTATTATTCTTTGGTTGAACCTATCACACGTATATCTTGGATGTAACATCGTGTTATGTAGCGACAATGCCATTACTATGGCGCTGCTTAAATAGCCTCAGTTAAAAATTTCCGGTCGTTTCTTCTTCCGTCACAAATCGCCGTGGAAGCTCTTGGACTTATACCAGGGGACAAATTTTCCAATTTTTAAGGCTTCTGGAACTAGTTGAAAAGGGTGTTTCAACACTCTTCTGAAGGGATAAAATCTTTCGCAGACTTTTAGACTATTACGTGGAGAAATTGCATGCATATTCAATTTTAACGTGATAATAAAACGTGATATAAAACCGCACAAAGATACATCAGTGTCTGAAGACTACGCCAGACTTTATCATTACGAGCGCCAGAACATGATATTCGACTATTTTATTATGGCTGATTTTTCATGCTTCAGAAGAATCCCAGATGGTGCAGATTTCACTGTTTTCCGGCGACATATCTGGAAAATTGGGAGCTTTTCTATTTCCCTCCGCGTCTAACTTTTCTGCAATGATCGACTCTGATTAAAGACCCATAAAAACTCCAATTTTTACCTCGTGCTTTAAATCAAAGTGAAAACTACGGATGTCTTTTCACTCCGTCCGGTGACTATCGACTTCTGGAAAAACATCTGTGTTCCAAAGTTATCCGAATACACGCTACGGAACAACTCGTTTATTCCACTATGGATAGTCGTTTAAAAAAAGCTTTAGTACGTTAAAGATAGTAAAACGACATTCTCTAAAAATAAAAGGCTTACAAATGCTATTGAAACATCTCAATTCTCTCACAATTTCAGTATTTATGGAAAAAAATTGTAAAGTCGCACTCCTTCCTTGAGAAAAAAAAAACATTCTTACTGTTCGGGGAGGGGACAGTTTTTCTAAGCTGACAAGCTGCGTAAGTTAGTTTAGATCTAACGGAAAAATAAAATCGCTCTGTTCTGAACTTTGATTGTGTTAATATACAAGTCGTTTTAAATTTTCCGGAAGGTGCCAGTAGTTCTTGAAATCTGCTGGGAGGAGTTTATTTTATTTTTTAGCTGAGAGACATCAATAAATTGATCTTTCTTACGAACAACGTTCATATTTTAATTACTACTCGCTTGCGCTCAAAAGACGTCAATCAAAGGAGCATTTGTGTTATCGTAGAACGCAAACAGTAGCTCGATGACTAACATTACTGCAGTACGTCATTTAAGTATGGCGTTCCGTCACCGCCAAAATTCAAACTTAACCCTCTATCCACACATACCATCATCAACTGGCAACATTCAAATCATTAATTGAAACATTCAACCCTCCACTACAACATTCATGTCAGGCGTTTAAAATACACTCACAACATTCGGACATGCACTCCAAACATTCAATCAATCAAGTGAAACATTCAAAGCAGGCATACAAAATCCACTTACAACATTTGGACATGCAATTTAAACAAGCAGTTATTCAATTCCAATTTTCATTTTGGACATTCTTTCAAACATTCGATTATTCAATCTCAGTGAACATTCGATTTGAACATTCCATTTAAACATGTTCGAATTGAATGTTTGGATTGAATGTTTGAATTGAATGTTTAGATTGAATGTTCGAATTGAATGTTTGGATTGAATGTTCGAATTGAATAATCGAATGTTTGAATTGAACGTTAGAATTGAATGTTGGAATCGAATGTTTAGATTGAATATTCGAATTGAATGTTCAGATTGAATAATCCAATATTTGAATGGATTGTCGAATTGAAAGTCGAGTGTCCTAAATGAAAGTTGGAATTTAAAAACCGCTTGTTTAAATTGCATGTCCAAATGTTGTAAGTAGATTTTGCATGCCTGCTTTGAATGTTTCACTTGATCGATTGAATGTTTGGAGTGTATGTTTGAATGTTGTGAGTGCATTTTAAACGCCTGACATGAATGTTGTAGTGGAGGGTTGAATGTTTCAATCGAATATTTGAATGTTGCCAGCTAGTGAATGATGGTATGCGTAGATAGAGGGCTAAGTTTGAATTTTAGCGGTGATGGAACGCCATATTTGTGGCAGCTCTAGGTTAACAGACCACTGAACTTTGAGAACTGATTTCGGTATTTTTGAACTCATCATGTCACGTTGCAGTTCGAATCCTCTGGCCGAAAACGATGGAAAGACGCTCGCCTATTATGTTCTACTTGTTTTTGCACTGGAAGGAAATTCCGGCTCTCATCGTAATAATTGTCTTTAAGACAAATACAATGACACAGACCATAAGCTATATTCTTGTCACTGGCTGATCAGTGGTGTTGTTAACCAATTATTTTACAAGTTTTTTTTTTCATTTGCAACCGATATCCGTAACCCTGTCAACCCAAAGCCAGGTTCTAAAAGCTTTGGATCGATTTGGAGCAGTGGTACATACCCATCATACCCCACTCATCAGTTCAAAACTTCGCATCTTCATTTTCACCGTCGGGAGTTATGGCCATTAACTGTAGACTCCCCTCATCTGATCAGTCATAAATGTGTTGAGAGTCCAGAATGATTCTAATGTCTTTGGGAAGGCTCATATGTAGAAACGTAATCTGTGGTGGTTTGTGTTATTTTCGTTTACTTGCCATTGGTTTTGATAGCGGCTGCGCTATACACTACCATTTTCTATAAGCTCAAATCACAGAAGATACTTGGTGAAGCATAAGCGACCAAAGCCGTGCGACCAAGCCTAAAAAGAGAGCGAATTGTTCTGAAATTTGCCATTACCATTGTCTTGGTACTTGTAGCATGCTGGTTGCCTCTCACCACTTTTTTCTTTTTGCTCTTTTTTAACGACCTTGCTGATTGGTCTTGCAGCATCATACACTTCTCGTCTTTTGCCCACTCTGTGGTTCACGCCAATTGAGCAATGAGCCCTTACATTTGTTTCATTTCCAGTGGAAACTATCGCCAGGGTCTAAAGGAGCTCTTCAACTGTTTGGCTGGCGGGACAGGAACAGGCTATAAATAACCGAAGCTCTTCCTTGTTATCAAGTTTTTAAGCATTGATTAAGATAATGGTCGGCAAAAACCTGAAAAAATCATCCTTTACAAAAAGGTTCCACTGATGAATCTTTTAAGGAAGTTAATTGAGCTAGTTAGTAAAATCAATTTTTGTTAAACAATATTTGATCAAGACGTAACCTGTATATCCATGGTTGATGCAATTCAACAGAGGAGATAAAAAGTCTGTTTTCGCCAGATTAACATAGGATCCACATATGGACCTCAGCATTTACAGTGAAGCTCTGTGACTTCAAACAATACTTAATTCAGTATGCAGAATTAGCATGTTCATTAATTCGATTCATCGTGACGTTTTGAAGCTTACTATTAATCGGTAAATTCAAAACGTAATTTCATCAGCACCGCTTTAATTTGTTTTCAAGCGCTTTTTATGTTCCGTTTGTAAGCTCCCTTCCCCTCCGTTTAAAAGCCCCTGGTTTCCAGCATACCAGCGAGATAAAAGAAGCGGAATCTTAATCTCAGTATCTCTGTTGATATGGGAACATTTCTTGGGTCTCTTCGTACCAGCACGGATAACCGAGGCGGTGGCCTGTTTTCCGAGATCTCCCCTCTTTATCCTTTTCTCAGTAAAACTCATATTGAATTCATATGAAGAAAAGGTGGACAGCCTGGTTTCGGAGATCTCGCAGCTGAGATGAAAAATTCCATGCCGGTCGACGGAAGGAAATCGAAGGTCCTGCCTCGATCGTTTCGTGAACCAAGCCGAGCTTCCCAATTCGCAGTTTTCCCAAAGGAAACTTGTTCATTGTTATGTAAAACTACGAAAACTTTTTCTCGTTGCCATGTTCCCACCAATAACATAGCTCCATTTTCTGCCTTTAAAAGCACACACAACCCACAATTCCTCTATTCGCTCCGACGAAGGGCTAACGCTCGAAACGTCAGGTTTCGTAATCGTTACGGTGGCCAATTTACCATTTCAACTTTGTTGATATATCCAAATTATTACGAAAACTGAGTTAATCTGGTCGACTTGGCTCTTATGGGTCCTTTAACCCTTAACCACCCTAACAGCGGTATGCAGGCTTTTCACTTGGTAGGTACTTGGTGAAATCCTTCAT